TGTGAAGTACTCAGGATAATCTCTTGTCCTTGAATAGTGCTCCTTCCTACAGGGCATGTAAGACATTAAAAGACATAGAGATTTTGAACTTCATAGTTCCTAGAATATATGAGATAGTCACAGAGGAAAAAGCCTGCTAACTTTGGGAGGCCTTATTAGGGTAGCCTGTCATTTGGAATGCAGCCTCTAAGGAAAGCCTCTTTAGCCCTCTATGTCAGTACGTGAGGTTTGGGAATATCCTACTGAGGCTAGATGAATAGCTTGTCCACCTGGAATACAACCTTCTGTGTGAATCTGCTTTCAGCTAAACTGCAAATGGATTATGCTTATTCTTTTCTTTTTGATCAGAGGCCTCAAATCCAGCTCTGGGTCAGTTGTCGAAATAACTGGGTTTTTTTTTTTTTGAAATAACTGTTTTTATTGAACCTGTTGTATGCCTGTCCATGCTAGGCATTTGAAATTATCACAGACCTTGTCTACTCTATATGGAGGCTTTATGATTTCCATTTACAGCCAAGGAGAGACTCAGAAAGGGCTTGGTAACCTGCCCAACTTTCTACATTGCAGTGGCAGAGCCAGGGCTTCAAATCTAGGTCTGACTTCTAAACTTCAAAGCAATACCACTCTCCTGGGTGCTAATGAGCATTCACAAAGCATCTTAGGTGTGAAAAACGCTATCCAGATTATACCTTTCCTCCTGCTAGTATGGTAAGAAGGGCAAAGTGTGCACAGGATTGGTAGTCTTTGAAGAAGGGGGAAAGAATCACAGTTATTTTCTAATGCAAGGAAGTTTAACAATTATACTTTTTTTTTTTTTTTTGCGGTACGCGGGCCTCTCACTGTTGTGGCCTCTCCCGTTGCGGAGCACAGGCTCCGGACGCGCAGGCTCAGCAGCCATGGCTCACGGACCCAGCCGCTCCGCGGCATGTGGGATCTTCCCGGACCGGGGCACGAACCCGTGTCCCCTGCATTGGCAGGCGGACTCTCAACCACTGCGCCACCAGGGAAGCCCAACGATTATACATTTTGAGTAGAAAATTCAACAATATAAGTGACAAAATGTATTTAAATATAAGATATCACCATTTGACATACTTATTTTTTACAATGAAGCAAAACAGTTTGTTGGGAAGATAAACAGTAAATCAAGAAAAATTAGTTTGACTTATTTATACTCTACCTGTGACAGAACATATTTAAGATGGCTTGACTACTAAAGGAGATGAAAAATCAAGAGCCAAAGTCCCTGGCTCTCTTGTCTTCCTCTCAGTTTTTTTAAAATTAGTTATAAGTGGATTCAGTTGATATTTTTTCTTTTTCATCAAGAACATCTCCTATGAATAAACCCTGTCATTGCCTCCAGTATAATAAGTATTAGAAGAGAGGAAGGGTGTGTAAAACAACCAGTCTCAGCCCTGGCGATGGTAGCTGACTAAATGGACGGTTACTGTTCATTTCTCGTCTGTCAGTTTTCTTCGTTCACTGAAATTGCTGGAGACTAGGTAAAGAGATGAGAGGTGACAGCATTCTTCATCCTGTGTGGGCTGGGAGTGCAAAGCAATCAGAGATAACTGGATGAAAGAAATGAAGTTTGTTAATAGAGACCAGAAAGTCAGAGAATCGGGGCTTGAAAAAGAAAGACTTAGAGGAAACATCTGCTAGCAGTTCCAGTGGGTTGAGGGTGGCAGAGTGAGGAAGGGGGAGGGAAGAGGGTCAGAATACCCACCTACGCTGTTACTAAGCTTGTTGAAAAGAAAGCTGGTCTAATTTGATGTAGACTCTTCCCCTCTGGATCAGAAAAACAGAAGCATTACAATCTGCTATTCATATAGAAAGTGTGAGTAGAGAAAGGGAAAATGCACGTGTGAGGCCGAGAACATCTGTTGGAACAAGTTGTTTTAAAGATAGCTAAGCAGTGGTTTTAAAGCAACTTGATAGTGTTTGGTGGAAAGGATGAGGAGGAATGGGGGTGGAGACCAATGCGATGAGAGTAATTAATTAGGTCATGAACAGCATCCCACCCTATATCTTTTATTTTCTCAGTGCTTAGACTCAGAGTCTCATAAGGGAACACTGTGATTAATGGCAGCAGCCAAGAATATGACAAGAAGATAAATTGCTCATAGCATGGTACAGCTGGTTCCTGGGAAAAAAGCTTCAGAGACATATCAAGAGAGTCCTGTAGCAAACATAATGTGAAAGAGACCATTTTCTTGGGAATGTTCTCACTTTTATTTCTAAGTCATATATTTTGGGGTACAAACCTACTTTATATGTCATGAAATGATAGCTACTTAGTCCAGTAGTCTTCCCATCCACGATGAACTGTCAAAGATTGAGAGAAAATCGGAATAGTAATGTTCCCAGTTGCAGAGAGACCACTGATCTGTGTTATTTATTGTTATTTATTTCTTATTGCATGCTTGTATTTCTCTTTATTAATGATGGAGCAGTGTCCATTTTCTAAAAACTTTCGCATGTAGAGCTTGAAGTTCCCCCTTCCGGCTTTTCAATATTCTCATGGTTAATAGTCCTAATAATGGTGCTGCCATATATTTGTATAGCAGTGTATACTTTTTCAAGCTTTATTATTTGCATTACTTTATTTAATCCCCACAAATCTCCATTGGGCAGTTAAGCTATGTTTTAATCTCCATTTAAAAACTGGGAACACTGGAAATAATGAGGTTAACTTTCTTGCCTGAGATTACACTTCTGGTTCCTAACATGAGAAGATTAGATCACTCCTTTCTCCTTCTGCAAGCTCCATCAAAGATAATATTGAGATATTCGAGCTCCTGGGGGTTCTGGCCTGGGCTCACTCCACTCAGGGCCTGATGGGCTGGAACTCTCCAGCCCTGACCTTACCCCAGGTTCCAGAGTCAGTGCATCTGCCTACCAGAGGTCTCACCAGCAGCAGATCAGACTCAATATGTCCCCAACGAAATTCATCAACTTTCTGCTCTCTCCTCAAACCTCCTGGTCTTGAGTTTCTGATTCTAGTGAATGTTATCACCAAACTCCCAGTTGCCTAAGCCATATCTCAGGAATTCATGTGTTTCTCTGTTGCATCTGCCATTGTGTGGGACTAGGCCACTAGTCTCTGTCTTCACTACAGCCCTCTAACCACCATCCTGGACCCCCCTCCCCCAGTACATTATCCCCATCTCATTCTGATTGGGTTTTCTAATGCAGATCTAATTAGTCTTTTCCCTAGACCTTCAAGGACTTCTGTTTGCATTTAGGATAAAATCTAAAATTCTTAACATGACTTACAAGGCCTCATAGAATTTGGCCCTGGGTTTCCAGCTTCTCAGACCACTCCCTCTTAGTGTATTCCCTGTGTTACCTATATTACCGTATTAAGTATTTTCCAGTTTCTCAAGGGTATCTTGTTCTTTTTGCCTCTAGGCCTTTATATAAAGCTGCTCTCTTTCCCTAGAGATCTCTTTTCTTTCAAGTCTCAGCCAAGACATCATGCCCTCTGGGAAGCCTTCCCTGACACAGTGACTCCCCTGTGCTCTGGATCTCTTTGTCCATTTCCCTTTCTACACTGTATTTGTCAGGAAGGCAGGAGTCATTGTATCCCCATCACTGAGTTCAGAGGATAGAACCTGTTAGGCAAACAAGATTGAGTGAATAAACAAGTGTTTCTAGATTTCCATTGTTTTTTCACTAAAATAGTTCCCCACCAATATAGTCAATATTCTCTTGGTGGTTTTAGTGTTAAATGCCTAGCTCATTCTCTAAGATATCTATACTATGTAAATATTTCTAAAATTTATCTTATTCCCCCTGTATCACAGAGATATAGTAATATCACAGCATGCTATTGTTTTACTCTGATTAAATCTGGTGACTTTTTGGGTTAACTTAATAAGTATCCGTAACAAACATTTATTGGGTTAATTTCTGCATGCCACGCATTGTGCCGAGTGTTTTTCAAGAATTTTTTGCTTCTTTAAAATTGTTGTGAAGTTAGCTGGGTACTGTGGTTATCCGCATTTTTAAAAATTTTCTTAAAGAATTTTTTTTTATTTAAAAATTATTTTTTATACAGTTTTTAAAGGTTGCTTTCCATTTAGAGTTATTATAAAATATTGGCTATATCCCCGTGTTTTACAATACATCCTTGAGTCTGTCTTATACCTGAGAGTTTGTACCTTTACTCCCCACCCCTATATTATGCCCCCACCAACTGGTAACCACTAATTTGTTCTCTATATCTATGAATCTGCTTCTTTTTTGTTATAGTCACTAGTTTGTTATATTTTCTTAGATTCTACATATAAGTGATACACAGTATTTGTCTTTCTCTGTCTGACTTACTTAGCATAATGCTCTCCACATCCATCCATGTTGCTGCAAATGGCAAAATTTCATTCTTTTTTATGGCTGAGTAATATTCCATTGTATATATATTACCACATCTTCTTTATCCATTCATCTGTTGGTAGACACTTAGGTTGCTTCTATATCTTGGCAATTGTAAATAATGCTGCTATGAACATTGGGGTGCATGTATCTTTTTGAATTAGTGTTTTTGTTTCTTTCGAATATATAAGCAGGAGTGGAAATGCTGGGTCATATGATAGTTCTATGCTACAAAGCTGCAGTAATCAAAACAGTATGGTATTGGCACAAAAATAGACACACAGATCAATGGAATAGGATAGAGAGCCCAGAAATAAACCCACACAGTTATGGCCAATTAATTTACGAGAAAGGAGGCAAGACTATACAGTGGAGAAAGACAGTCTCTTCAGTAAGTGGTGCTGGGAAAACTGGACAACTACATGTAAAAGAATGAAATCAGAACATTCTCTAACACCATATACAACAATAAGCTCAAAATGGATTAAAGACCTAAATGTAAGACCGGATACTATAAAATTCCTAGAAGAAAACACAGGCAGAACACTCCTTGACATAAATCACAGCAATATTTTTTTGGATCTGTCTTCTAAAGTAAAGGAAATAAAAGAAATGCCTCTACTTACTGTTGTGAGTCTCATAAAGGTGGCAACTCAGGGATTTTGTGATTTTAGCATAGGCTTTGAAGCTAATCTCTGTAGCTGTAAAATGAGGGAAACACAGGGTTGTTTGTGTGAGGATTAAATGAGACAATATAAGTAAATTACAGAACATAGTCAGGAACTGGTTCATTGTAGGCACCTGAAAAATGATAGCTCCTCTTACTGATGTTGTTTTCTAAATCTCCTACTAGCTTACCTCACTGAACTTCAGAACTTAAATTAAAGGAGAGTTTGTTAAAGATAAAGCTGGATTTTTAGGCCTAAATAAATTCTTAGGAGAAAAATGGAATGACTAAGAAAAGTGAACTTTTCATTTAGATTTCAAGTATATATACTTGTATAAAATTCATTCTAGCTCAGTTAATGATTATATTCTATACATTCCTCTAAGCCCAGGGTCCTTGGTCTTGTAGGGGCCTAGAAAGGTGGCTATTTTTAATAATTTAAAAAGGCTGATTGTATAACCCACCATGGAGCTACATAAGACTATTTCAAGATGTTAAATTTATTTGTTCTTGATTCTAATTATTTTATTTCATGTCTTTGGATTTTAAAAAATGGGAAATTAATTATTACCTAGGAAATGAACTTTGGTAGATGAAGTATTTGAAAACATGAGATTTGCAGTGGAGAAATAATTTTTTGAAAAGACCCCAATGGGGAAAATCTTTGAACCAGTGTTTCATATTTCAAATAAGGTACATATTTTGTTATTATTACAACTTTTTCTGCTCTGTTATTATATAACAACTTCAGTTTTTCATTATTCACCTTTTGCTACAAATATACAGCTTTATCAAACAAGGAGAGAAACGTTTTGGAAGTTACTGACAATGTCTTTGAGGGTTCCTTGCGTAGTTTTCAGTAAAGTTAGTAAAACCATGCTGTCATGATGTTTGTAGTTATAAATTTCATGTGGAGCACTAAACAGGCCAAAAACAACCTTGATAAAATTAGTAAACATATTTGCGCATGTGTGTGTGTGTGTGTGTGTGTGTGTGTGTATGTGTATGGTATAAAACGGAAATAATTTAAGTTGCAGTGTTGTGCAGGAGTACAGTGTCCCGAGTACACTCTACTTAATATAAGAATATACTTAGGGGCTTCGCTGGTGGCACAGTGGTTGAGAGTCCGCCTGCCGATGCAGGGGACACGGGTTCGTGCCCCGGTCCGGGAAGATCCCACATGCCGTGGAGCGGCTGTGCCCGTGAGCCATGGCTGCTGAGGCTGCGCATCTGGAGCCTGTGCTCCACAGCGGGACAGGCCACGGCAGTGAGAGGCCTGTGTACCGCAAAAAAAAAAAAAAAAGAATATACTTATGTTTAATATAAGAATGTACTATTTAATATAAGAATACATATAAATAAGAATATATAAGAATACACACTGATACTCAGCAGTTATTGTATGCTAAAGGCAATATCTCATTTACTTTATCTCACAACAACCCCAATAGATAGGTTCTCTTATCCTTATTATTCATATGAAGGAACTGAAGTTCAGAAAGGTTAAGTTACTCATCCAGTGTCATGTAGCTAGTAAGTGGTGGTGGAATCGGAACACAAGTGCAGGTCTTTCTAATTCCAAAGCCCTATCACCTGTCCTTTGAACTGGTAAAGGAGAAATCACAAGTCAGCATGGAAGAATTCTGCAGAAATTCAGGTTGGGAATTTACTTTGGATTTTTACCACATTACATATAACAAAATAAATTCCAGATGGGATAGAGAGTTAAAATTTAAAAACAAAAGAAGCAATAAAATAAAGCTTTAGAAAACTAGAGGGTAGATTTGAGTACTTCTCAAATCTCTAAAGGAGAATGTCTTTTTGAATAGTATAGTAATAGAAGAAGTCACAAAGTAAAATATAAGTAATATACAACTATAGTATACAAAATTAAAACTTTTTTTTTTTTTTGCGGTACGCGGGCCTCTCACTGTTGTGGCCTCTCCTGTCGCGGAGCAACAGGCTCCGGTCGCGCAGGCTCAGCGGCCATGGCTCACGGGCCCAGCCGCTCCGCAGCATGTGGGATCTTCCCGGACAGGGGCACGAACCCGTGTCCCCTGCATCGGCAGGCGGACTCTCAACCACTGCGCCACCAGGGAAGCCCTAAAAAATTTTTTGATTATCAAAACAAAAGTATAAATTGGCTACAATTAAGAAAACAACACCCAGTACTGGCAAGGAAAACTGTCATATATTGCTTATGATACAATAAAGCAATAAAGGCCCTTGAGGAACATATGTAAAGGACATAAAAATATTCATCCCTTTGTACTAATTCTACTTCTGGGAACCTATTGTATTAGATCATCTAAACTATGGAAAATGCTGTCTCCATGAAAATATTTTTGCAGTGTTTCTCATAAAACCAAAAATAAGGCGAATAATCTAAATGTCCAATATGAAGATAGTGATTAAACTGTCAAACCACCAGATGAAATGTTATATAATCATTATTATCAATGATCATAAAATCTATGTTCCAGTGTAAAACACTGTGGATGTATAAACTTTTAATCTTTTTCATTTATGTTTTTATTGAGGTTACAACTGTAGAAATAAGGTAATTGTACCTTGAGAGACTGAAATCAAGTATTGTACATTAAAATCTTAATCATGATTATTCAGGTAATAGGATTAAGGTGGATTTCTTTACTTCATTTTCTGAGTTTTTGATAATATGGTTATTTGAAAGTAAAAAGGACATATTCTTTGACCCACAGGATGGGTTTCCAGATTTCCAGGACTCTGTGCAGACACTCTTCCAGCAGGCTAAAGCTAAGAGTGAGGAACTCGCTGCTCTTAGTTCACAGGTAACGTCAACCACCAGTTACTATTTCATAACAGCATCTGTAGGTTAAAAAATAAATGGCTGCTTCGACTAGCTTCAGTTTTAAATTCACTTTCATCCAAAGACTGAATTTATTTCTGGTTGTTTTTACAATGTCACCTGATCCACAGCTGTATCAGTGAGATAGCAGCATCAGCTAGGTTTAGTTTGCTTTGTGAGCAAAACCCGACATCTGCTACTTATTTTTTCTTTGAAGTTTTGTAGGAATTAATACAGATTCTCTACTTAAGAAAGAAGCAACTTGATACCAGGAAAACAGCCATGTTGATTATGTGTGTAATACAACTCTGAGATAAAATAGTTCTAGTTCTCAATAATATATTAATAGTCAACATTGTAACTATTGTTGAATCATTTCAATTCATGTATAATGCAAAATTAATTAATATATAGCTTCAGGTGCTTTTGCTGCTAAGTTATTTGATCGTGTACACAGAAATTAACATTTTAAAAAGTCATTTTTGCCTTTTAGAAAGTACTGTAAGTTTTATTCCTGTTGATCTTCTCACTAGTGACTGCTTTTGGTCAGATTTAGTAGTGCCAAGTTTTGTGTTTTCATGTTAAGAGGATGAAAAATACATTTCCCCCTCAGAAATCTTATTGAAATTTTATTAATTAATTAGTTACAAATTTAAATGAATTGAAGTTATGGTTCCTTTTGATCTCGTTTATTTATTTATTTTTAACATCTGTATTGGAGTATAATTGCTTTACAATGGTGTGTTAGTTTCTGCTTTATAACAAAGTGAATCAGCTATATATATATATACATATATATATACATATATATATATACATATATATATACATATATATATATATATATATATATATATATATATATATATACATATATATATATATATACATATATATATATACATATATCCCCATATCTCCTCCCTCTTGCGTCTCCCTCTAACCCTCCCTATCCCAACCGTCCAGGTGGTCACAAAGCACCGAGCTGAACTCCCTGTGCTATGCGGCTGCTTCCCACTAGCTATCGGTTTTACATTTGGTAGTGTATATATGTCTGTGCCACTCTCTCACTTTGTCCCAGCTTACCCTTCCCCCTCCCCGTATCCTCAAGTCCATTCTCTACGTCTGCGTCTTTATTCCTGTCCTGCCCCTAGGTTCTTCAAAACCTTTTTTTTTTTTTTTTTTTTTAGATTCCATATATATGTGTTAGCATACGGTATTTGTTTTTCTCTTTCTGACTTCACTCTGTATGACAGACTCTAGGTCCATCCACCTCACTACAAATAACTCAATTTCGTTTCTTTTTATGGCTGAGTAATATTCCATTGTATATATGTGTCACATCTTCTTTATCCATTCGTTTATTTGATTCAGAATAACAGTATAAGCTTTCATCCTATTCTATGAGTTAATATATTTCACCTATTGATTTTTACTACTGTGAATCAGGATTGTTTGTAACATATATATAACTTTATATAGTAGATGCCTTGTATTGCTCTTCTGTATAGCATGGCAGTGATTCCTATCTGTGTATTTTGACTATTACCTCCTTGGCAGAATATCACTGCTTTGACTGTCATAGGTATTATCACACATAGGTAATTTAGAGCAGTGCATAGAGAAGGGACTTAGAGAACACATGCAGAGATAAATTTATATGTCAGCCAACTAATTGTGTACTTTAAAACATGTCTTTTTATGATGGGTTGGAAAATACTGCAGTTTCATTCCATGATGAAGGTGAAGATCCTCGTTGGCACTGATGTTTTTCTGCATAAGTTGCATTGCTTAATTTTAGAGGGAGGTGTGTTTGTCTTGTTCTTCTAGACAGCCGTTTTACACCTTTTCTCCCCCAAATATACTGTCATCATATCAGAGTTTGTGTAGTGCCAGATCCTAAAATAAAAACGCCAAGACTTCGCCCTGTGTTTTAGAAGCAGTTTATAACAGATGTTGCTGTTGCTCTGAGGTTCCTTTTTTAAAAAATCTTTAAAAGGACTTGGTATCTTAGAAAACAAAGCTAAGGTTATTTTGCTTTTGAGCTAGAATGGAATTCTCTTTACAGAATTGAGCAGAAAGTTTTTTCCTTTCGTACAAAATCTAACATTCTGTGTTTTAACATGATGATATAGACATCAGTGCATATTTATGGAACGTGTATACCACATGAAGTATGAACTAATTTTAATGACTACTAAATATATTTGCTGCAGTCTGAAATTGGCATCTTTAAACCATTAAAAAATCTAGAATGTTTTAGTTACTTTATTTTCACTTTACTTACTAGCAGCCTGAAAAGGTGATGGCAAAGCAGATGGAGTTCCTTTGCACCCAAGCTGGCTATGACAGACTGCAGCATGCTGAAAGAAGACTGTGTGCAGGACTTTACAGGCAAAGCTCAGAAGAGCACAGCCCTAATGGCTTGACTTCTGATAACACTGATGGACAAGGTACATCTTTAGAGTGACCCACACCTTTAGAGCCAGCTACTCTGTGCACTTCAAAGGGAAACAAAAAATGGCTGGTTTTTTAAAACTTGATATTTTATGGAGATTATTTTATAGGTTCTCTATCAAAATTAATTTTTAAATTGTCCCTTTTTATAAAAAGGAAAGAATTCTTCCTGCAAATATAACTTGTAGAGTTTTTTTTTAACCTTATTATCCCTAAATAATAGCTGGCACATGTGATTGACATATATTTTGTAGAGGGTGGATGGGAAT